GTGCCCTCCGCAGGTCCGACAGCAGAAGGCGGGGCGACGGGCAGGGCAACTCCCCCGAAAGGGCACGGAAGGGGATCCTCTGAAGGGGGCTGTTGTCCACCACCACCACCATCAGTCTGAGGGAGAGGGGGTCCTCCTCCTCCTCCTCCTCTTCCTCCTCCTCCTCCTCCTCTTCCTCCTCCTCCCCCTCTTCCGCCTTCCCCCCTCCAATTTCTGGTAGCGGTGGTGGAAAGCGGGCCCATCGTCCTCGGAGGGTGCCGCGCCCTCGGCCTTCAGGGGGGCACTTCCGGAAGGCAGGCGGTCTCCCAGCAAGCGGGGAATGCCCGCTCGCCACGCGCCCGTGGTGCACACCGCCACGCTGGCCAACCGCAAAATAAATCCTGGAACAATCTGACGGTTTTTGGAACGTAAGCGGTGTAGTCGTGGTGCGCGGAACCGATGTATTCTAAAACAAAACGGCCGCAACCCGACATGTTCTAAGAACTGGGCGCTGGCAGGGAACCGTCAACCATGGTTACCGCCGAGAAACTATCCGAGTTTCCTTTCCTGTGCATCGTCGCTCGCTAAACTACAGGGCCCCCGACGCAGTTCGAAGCAGTAGAATGCCTGCAAAAAGCGAGTCTAGAAACCCGAGTACAGCTCGACTAGTGAACTGAAGGGTGATAGACTTGTGCGTTGAGCAATTCTGATTCGATTCCGACTGAAAGTCGGGCCCGTAGCTGCTCGCAACCTAGATGTACTCAAACATCGCATTTCGAAGCAGAGGGATATTTGCAAAACTATATCAACGTTTCGGATATAGCTCAAGAGTGTCAGTGGACTCGAGGTTTCAGAATTACGAATGTGAGCATGCCCGGCACATTGGTAGACCAGAGAGCTCTGCAGCTGCTCTAAATCTCAAAACCACATCACAACATCATTTCGAGGCAGCGGAATTATGGCAACGCGTACTTAGCTTTGGTTGCACCAAGCTCGGGCATTGACCCGATCTCCACGCTCTCGGGATTGCAAGCTGGCGGTGTATTTGTCTGCGCACTCGTGACGCTGAGCGTGGCCGCCGCAGAAAGCTTCCGCGGGAACCCCGGCGGCGGCGCCCGCGCGCCGCGACGCCCATGTCGGCGCGCCCCATCACGAGGATCACGCCCGCTTCCTTCCCTTCTTCCCCCCCCTCTTTGCCCGCGCGCTCCAAAGTCCAAAGCTGCGGGCGCACCGCGGCGCGGAGCCCCCGCGACGCGCGCCGGTCGCCCCGGAAGGGCCCCAGCGACGCGCGCGGGCCGTCCGCTGCGCGGAGCAAAGAGAGCTAGCTAGCTAGCTCGCTGGCAAGGCTCTGACCGCCGGGCAGAGCGACGACGGGCGAGCGAGGCGCAAGGGAGAACGCAGCGCGGAGTTCCCGCGACGCGCGCTGGTCGCCCCGGGAGGGCACCGGCGACGCGCGCGGGTCGCACGCGGCGCGAGAGCAAACAATTAGTTGGGCAGTCGAGAAAAGGCGGGGCTCGGAGGGGGGGCGTTCCTCAGGTCAGGCCTCGCGGATGAGCGCGGTGAAGCCGAGCTCCCCGGCGAGGGCCGTCGCCCCCCTCCTGCGCCGCTTCGCGCGCGCCGCATATTCCCCCGGCTGCTTCCGCCAGCCCCCCGGCGGCCCTGCCATGAAGAACTCGACGCGCGGCGCCAGCATGAGCGGGAAGCCCTCGTGGCGCGTGGCACGCGAGGGCAGCGCATAGAGCTCCAGCCACCAGTCGTCGCCCTCCTTCTTGCCGTTCCCGACCTCGTGGCGGCCGCAGTCCAGGATCACGCCTGGGCGACGTCGGCCAAGGGGGCAGCGCGCCGGACAGCCGACGGCCCAGGGCGAGAAACCACAGTACCGAGGGATGGTCCGGCTGCAGACCGCTCGTGCCCAGTGGGTTCGGCTGTGGACTGCCCAGGGGCGCCGTTCCCTCGCCCCGTCGCCTTCTCTTACGGCGCGCCCCTGGCGCGGCGCCGCGGTGATGGCCCTGCCGTGCCAGAACGGGGGGCCCGCCCAGGTGACCTTGGAGGTGCGGAAGGTGAACGGCTCCGACGTGCGTTGCTCGATGAACACCAGCGGGCCCGCGAGGTCCCCCGCGGGGCTGTCGTCGCGGCGCTTCAGGTCGCCCACGACGGGCGCGCTCGCGCACTTCTCCATGCGCGCCCAGTGCACCAGGGGCAAGCGCTTCAGATAGATCCTTTGCTCCCCGCCTCTCTCGGCTTTCTGGGCGTCGCCCCGATTCCGAGGGCCCGCGACGACGCGCGCGATCTGCCCCTCGGCATCCGTCACGAGGCCGTTCTCGAGGTCGAGCGCCTCCAGGAGCCGGGCCCGCATGCCCGCGTGCGCCGAGGGGAGGCTCGTGCATGCCACTGGTGCTCTTCGGGCTGGCGCAGCTCAGTATCTTGGCGGCGTCCGTGACGTTCATCGTCGGGGCACACCTGTCGGCGGCCTGCACGAGGAAGAAAGGCTCCTTCAGGACCTCCGCGTCACGCTGGGCACGCATGTTCATCCACCGCGCCACGGTGTCCCAGTATGACCCGATCATGCGGCCGTTCTGAAACCTCTCCTCCCGGAGCCGACGATCATGCGCGGCCCGGCTGGCCAGAGGGGCCTGCCTCCCCGGTTTGCGCAGGAAGGCCATGAGATCCCCGAGCTTCGGGTCCCTGGAGCGGTTGGGCGCCTGGAGCTCGAAGCACAGCGGCGCGTTGCAGAAGAGCTTCATCACGGCCTGACACTCTGGAGCGAGGTTGATGCCCGCCGCCGCTAGTCCCTAGAAACTGGAGGTGAGGGACACGTTGCCGCCCGTCGGCTTCAGCTGCAGAAGTCTCCAGGTGGATCACGATGGGCATCCGGCCGAAGACTCCGCCGAGCTGGTCGTGCCCCCGCTCCTCCGCGCCCCACTCGGCCTTGCGTCCCGGGTGGGACAGGGGCGCCAGCATGTTGTACAGTTTGGGCGAGATCATGCTCACCTCCTCCAGGATCAAGCACCTGATCGCCTCCCCCGTGTCCTGCGACGCTTTGAGCTTGCCCCCCCGTGGGTATTTCCTTTTTCCTGCAAGACTGCACTCCTATTACTCCCGCCCGGTGGCAACTGACGGCCTTGTGAGCGTCCGTGGAAATGTTCGCGGTCTGAACCACTTTCGCGCAGACTATGAGCGTGGACTTCGCCTTGCCCTGTCCCACGGGGAACAGCGCGTCCATGGCCGGCAGCGCGATCTCCTGCACCATGGCGGTTTTCCCGCTGCCGCCCTGGCCGAGGAGCAGGAACTGGAAGGATCCCCGGCGCGTCCACGGCCGCCAGCCCGCATGCCGCGGGGCGATCCGGAGCCGCCGCCGGACGAAGACGACGACGGCGACGACGACATCCACCAAGCCACTCCTCCACCGCTCGTTTACAGCGACCACAGCGAGAACACCCGAAAGTCCCTCGATGGTGGAATGGAATCTCCCGCGAATGCAAAGCAACATACATACGGGGGGGAGCGGGCCTGTTCCCTGAAACCTTGAGTGTGGAGGACGCATGGTGGCGGTGGCATTGGCGCCTTCGGTGGAGCCCCCTTGTGGGGCGGGGCCACGAAACGTGTGAGGGGTGTGCCGACATGCGTGTGTGGGGGACGCATGCAGGCGGTGGCACTGGGGCCTTCGGTGGAGGTCCCTATGGGGCCACGAAGCGTGAAAAAGGGTGCCGAAATAGGTGTGGGGGGCGCATGCGGGCGGTGGCACTGGGGCCTTCGGTGGAATTTAAGTCCTTATGGGGCCACGAAGCGTGAAAAAGGGTGTGCCGAAATGGGTGTGGGGGACGCATGCGGGCGGTGGCACTGGGGCCTTCGGTGGAGCTCCTTTTGAGGCCACGAAACGTGTGAGGGGTGTGCCGAAATGGGCGTGGGGGACGCATGCAGGCGGTGGCACTGGGGCCTTCGGTGGAGGTCCCTATGGGGCCACGAAGCGTGAAAAAGGGTGCCGAAATGGGTGTGGGGGGCGCATGCGGGCGGTGGCACTGGGGCCTTCGGTGGAGCTCCCTACGGAGCCACGAAACGTGAAAAAGGGTGTGCCGAAATGGGTGTGGGGGACGCATGCGGGCGGTGGCACTGGGGGCTTCGGTGAAGGTCCCTATGGGGCCACTAAACGTGTGAGGGGTGTGCGGGCATAGGTGATGATGACGGTTGTGATGATGATGACGATGATGATGATGATGATAATGACGATGACGATGACGATGACGATGATAATGATGATGATGATGATGATGATGATGATGATGATGATGATGATGATGATGATGATGATGATGATGATAACGCTGATGGTGATGTTGATGATGACGGGAGGAGAATGGAAGGGGGAGGAGGAGGAGGAGGAGGAGGAGGAGGAGGAGGAGGAAGAGAGGAGATGAACGCGGGGTGACGTCGCTTCAAAACGAGGACCCAACACCACAGGATGGTTGGGAAAGTGTCAAACAATACTCCAAAATGGACAACGAACAATCAAAAAATAGTCCCCAGACTGTTCTTTTGACTATTTCTGACTATATTCCTCCTGCAGAGGGACAGGCCCGACTCGAGTGTACGTCCTTCTTCCACTCCTGAGACTCGAGCGGCCCCGACCGCGCCGCGCGGGCTCCTGGGGCCCACGGCCCCTCGCGCCACGGCCCGCTGCCGCCGCGCGGCCCCAGCCGCGCCGAGCTGGCCCCCGAGGCCGTCCACAGACGCCGGAGGCCGCCGCCCGGGTCGGCCGCGGCGGAGGTCGCTGGCCGGGCGCCGCCCCGGCTGGGCGGGGGCAGGGCCAGGGGCAGCTGGGCGCGCGCGCGCGCGCCGGCCGGGGCCCCTCCCGACGCACCCGCCAGGAGGAGGAGGAGGAGGAGGAGGGTCAAGGAGGGTCAAGGGTCAAGGGCCATTTTGGCTCAAGGAGGGTCAAGGGTCAAGGTAGGGTCACTTACTGTACCTTCCATTGTTCTTCACTTTTGCCCTGTGCAAGATTTTTCTGTAATCAGGTTTCTCTCATGACGGAGCTTGCGCAGAGCACCCTGAATGCGCTGAAGGACATGATGGATCAGTCGGTCAGGCAGGGGGTCGAGCCGGTGAAAAAGGACATCCAGGCCCTAACAACTAAGGTGGACGACCATACCAAGCGAATCGAGAAGCTTGAGTCGGCATCTCGATCGCCGGGGGCAGATGCGTCATCTTCGGTGGGGTTGGGAAACCAGCAGGCGTCCAAAGGCTTCATCCCCACATTTTTCAACATCGAACACTTCAGCACCTACGACGATCGGAAGACGCTGGGAGTTTCTCGTTTAGAGGCCGAGGAGTTTTTGAGTAGGCTTAAGGAGAAGTTGCCGCAGTCGCTCCAGGAGAAGGTCGGGGACTTCGAATGCTTCGGGAGCAAATCAAACAAGATCAAAGTTCATGTGCAGCCCCCGTACGCGGTTGAGATTTCATTGATTTTCAAAGATTTCTTGCAGGACGAGGATTTCAAATACAAGGGGCGCTCTTTGTGGACGGCTGTGGAGAGATCCCCCCTTGAACAGGTCAAATACGAGAAAGTTGGAAAGGCAAAGGCCACTGAAAAGACGCAGAGCAAGGACCCCAATACCTTCGCCAGTTGCTCATAAAGCCCCCATTGGATCCTCACTTGCATCAACAAGGGGAACGGGAAGGAGGTGGAGATGGGCGTGGTGGACGGGAACGGGGACGTCACCTGGGACGAAATGAACGTCAAGGCGGCGTTCGGCATTACCGGGGAGCAGATGAACAAGGAGCTCCGCGCCTTCCGGCGCGGGTGAGGAGGCACTGCTTCCCACGACCTCACGTCCATGTCGATACTCTCTTGGAATACGGCCAAAAGGGGCTGTACAGCAGCTGCGAAGATTTGCAAAGAGTTCGCGAATTTTCTGGGATATTTTGTTGCATGCTTGCAGGAGGTTCCTATGTGGGGGTCGCTGGACGGTTTCACTTATGATTCGCACACCATCATGTCTGCAGCGAATTGTGACTGCGCTTTTATTATTCCTAGATCTTGGATGCAAGCCAGCAGGAGGTTTTCGCATGGGGACTATTGGTGTGGACTCGTTGTGCATGACATCATTTTTATATCGGCGCACGTGCTTGATCATCTTGAAGAGGGTGGTCGGGCCGAGGTGCTGTTTCAAGAATCTCTTTCTTTCGTGCACGACATTCGGCATGAACATCCTTCGATTGACTTTCACGTGGTGGTTGGCACCGATGCGAACGTCCAATTTTCGGAAAACTTCGAGTCGATCGCCGGCGACGCTGTTTACCGGGACCGGGTGCACCATGAATTACCTCGTATGCGAAACGTTGCATCTTGGATGGTGGCGCTGGGTGTCACGGCGGACAACACGTGCCGGAATCATATCGTAGGCACCTCCGGAAGCATCCCTGGCCGGCTTTTGTGGACTCGTAAACAAAAGCACCATCCTGAGACGAAGTCGCAGATAGATTATCTATGTTCTTCTGCTGGTTTATCGGGCCACGCTTACGTACGGAAATTTTCTGGGAAATTGTTTTCTCGCTCGGATCATAGACCTATTTTGGGATTTGACCGTCTACCTCTTGCAAGTCAGTTTCGCGTGTCGCATGCGCAGTCTCTGGTTGGGTGGCGCCCTCGTTCCGAGGAAGCCCTGGAGGTGTACAAGATCAAGTCTCTCAGCTTCTTGGAGGCGCAGTTACCTACAGCTCAGGCTGGGTTTTTGCAGATTGCTTTATCCATCGACCACGACACCGCCAAGGAGCGTCGCAACACGCGGTCTCGATCGATTTCGGAACCTCTCCGGACTGCGCGTCGCAAGTTGGCGAACGCTTCGAACGAGGAGCGGCAGGAATCAGTCAGGGAGTTTCGCCGGGCACGCAAAAAGATGCGCCGGCAGCTGAACGAGAAGAAATTGGCGGCTATCAATTGTGATCGGCTTGCTCACCCATTGCCGATGTGGCTTGAAGTGGACGGGGAGTTGACGGGTGACAGGAAGAGATGGAGGGAGGCAATACATGCATTTGGTACGAATCGTTTTGCGGATGCTGACAACGAGGCGGACGTTCAAAGTGCCAGACTCCACGTGCTGGACAGTGTTGCTGGAAATCTGATTCTTGACGGTTGCGCCCCTCCTGAACTATCATTTTTCGACACGTTGTCTGGAAGGGCGGGTTTGAAGAAAGATACGTCTGCTGGTGCCGATGGCGCTCCTCCTGAGTTGTACCATGCATTACCGTATTCAATGGTACATCATATGTGGCGCCTCTTCAGGCAGCGGTATCGTTCTGGCACCACCCCCGATATCCAAACGTGGCGTCTTATAGAATTTTGTTGTTTGCCTAAGATTCCCGAGCCAATTGTATTTGACGATTTCCGCTACATTGGGAAACAAGATTGCTTGTCAAAGTGGTACATGAGAAGCATGCGGCCGGCCCTTTCGGAAGCGCTCACAAGCAGTTCAGTGGCGACCTTTGGTTTTAAAGTGGGGTGTGGGAGCGATGACATCACTTCGGTCCTGCATCAAACTACGGCAGTTTCTCACCACTGGGGATTGTCTTTGATCTTGGGCGCTATGGATGTCCGTTTCGCTTTCGAAAGTATTCGGTATTCGGTGCTGCAGGAAGTAATGGCGAAGAGAAACGTGCATGCGAACGTCGTTCGGGCTGTGCTTCGCGAGTCGTCCTTTCTGGAGGGCCGCATCACGATAGCAGGAGCTGAGCCGTCCGACAGATTTCCGATTTTCGCTGGTGGCAAGCAAGGGGGCATTGAGACACCACCATTGTTCAATTACCTCATGGAGTTCATCCTGCAGCCGGTCGTGGACAAGTGGAGGGCGGACGGTCGTGGCTTCAAGTTCGGCGACGACGATTCGGAGGCTATGTCGCATTTCGCTTGGGCTGACAACATGTTTTTGCTAGCTGGGAGCGTTGTGGAGTTTCATTGATGGCGCAAGATGTGACGGACGCCATGTACAAGCACGGACTTACATGGAAGGCTTCTTCTTTGGAGGTTATGGGATGCGGGCCGGCCAAATATTCGGCCTGGGATGACATATGCGTCTTTGTTTCGGAGCCGCTGGTCTTCAAGAGGGTGGCTTCGATGCAGGCGTTGGGCGTTCGGCTATCAGCGGACGGTCGCACAGCGGAAGCTTTGGAACACAGATTGTGCAAAGCTGAAGGTTTGTATTGGAAGCACGCCCAGACCTTCAAGGGCCCAGCGCCAGCCAAAGCAAAACTCCGGGCTTGGTGTCAGGGACCTACTACGTCGGCGATGTTTGGATCCTGATCTTGGCAGTTGAACAAAGCAATCTTGACGCGACTGAAGACATGGGAATGGAGCTTTCTGCGAAGGATCTTTGGGTGGCGCCGGAGACCAGACGACACCCCGATGACATACAACTCGCGTACATCGGGTTGGATACAGCAGCTGTTCCAGAAATTTCGAAAACAACCGTTGCATATACGTGTGCTGAAGGCCGTCTACACGCACGCGTGGCGGGAGTTGTCGTACCCCACCGTCGGAGGCATTAATTTTTTGAGCAAGAGCAGGGCATTTCGAGATAGAAGTTGGTGGGAGTATTTCAAGAACCGCGGGGAGTACACGAGACGCAGGCGAGAACACATGTTACACGCGTTTGCTGGTACTTTCACACACTGGGAGGACATTTTCTGTGAAGCTTTCGGTGTGAATTGGAGAGCTGATCGGCGGAGCGCCTGTTCTAGCAAGAGAGAGTGGCTTTCTCATTTCTGGGAATTTGCGCGCATTGTTTGCGAGCGGCATGGGCTACCCTTATGTTGCTGGACCCCCGGCGAGCCAGAGGAAGCGGGAAAAGTCGTGGCGCGGGCTGGCAGAAACGGACACGGCAAGAAGACCCAACACACGTTGGACGATTGCCCGGAGTCTCACGCAGAACTTGGGTGCGAAAGCAGACCTTTCAGATGGAGTGGTCAGGGAAAGCGCTTTGTTTGTGTTTCCGATTGTCAGCCTTTGGTCGAAGTGGCGATGGGCCGGTCTCCCCTCACGAATCCGACGCTTGAGCCAGTGTTCCAAAAACTATCCCGGGATATCGCATGGTTGATGGAAGCCGGCTTGTCACCGTCAGCTCTGCATCAAGATCCTGTCGTTTGGCGTCGTCGGTGTTATAACCGCAAGGCGGACCACCTTGTGAACTACACCATGGACATACAGCGTTCTTGGCACGATATCCTCCCACCAGAACGGGACGTTGGAGACGCAAATTTCGTCATGCATTTCGACGGCGGCACAAGGAAAGATCAATGCTCGGCTGCTGCGTGGTTGTTCGAAGCTGAAATTGACGGTGAATGTGTTCTACTGGCAAGACGAAGTATTTTCTTATCGACACCAGTGTCTTCCTTTACTGCAGAATTGCTTGCTCTGGAATCATGCACGGACTCATTGAGCAGGTTTTGGCGCAGTGTCTTGTTCAACGAGTACTGAGAGGGCGGCCATCCCTCCCACCAGGGATTTGGGCTGAGGCAGAAGAAGAAGAAGGAGGAGGAGGAGGGGTCGTCGCCGCCGCCGCAGCCGCCGTCGTCGTCCTCCTCCTTTTTGACGCTGGGCACGCTGTCTACCAGCTGGGATCGTGGCGTCTGCGTCGTCCTCCTCTTCCTCCTCCTCGTCCCTCCTCCCTCTCTCCTCCCTCTCTCCTCCCATGGTCCCTCCTCTGTGTCGGGCGAGGGATGGTGCGGTGAGGGGTGTGGGGAGGGGTGTGGGGAGGAGGGGAGGTAACGGGGGGGGGCGAGGGTGATGCGGGCGGGGGAACACAGGGGGCGGCGGGCGGGGAGATGTTCTTTTTGGCGAGCAGAACGATCGTTCGCTACCAAGGCTTGCGCTGAAAAACGTCTGGGGAGCGGGTGACAAGGCAACCCTCCATCCTAGATCCTCTCGACCCTCGACGACCTCGACCGTCGAAAATCGAACCTCTTCCCTCGCTCCTCGACGCTCGATTGCCATACCTCGAGTTGTCGATCCTTCATCATCGATCATCGAGCC